CTCTTTCACTTTATGTATCTCTCTACCTAGCTCTCTATCTCTCTCTCATGTCTCTCTCTCTCGCTGTCTTTATATCTCTCTCATGTCTCTGTCTCTCTCGCTTTGTTTCTCATGATCTCTCTCTCACTCTCCTTATTTCTGCCTGTCTTTGTCTCTCTGTCTTTCTCTTATTTCTCTCTTTCTGTCTTTCTTTTTTCTCTTCCCCTCTCCCTTTTCTCTCACTCCCCTTCCTTATGTCTCTTTCCCTCTTTCTCTCTCTCTCCCCCTTTTCTGCCTCTCCATCTTTCTCTCTCTCTCTCTCTCTCTCTTGCTCACTCTCTCTATGTCTCTCTTTCTTTCACTTTGTCTCTTCTTACTCTCTCGATCTCTCTCGCTTTCTTTATTTCTCTCTCACGTCTGTGTCTCTCTGTCTTTGCCGCTCTTTATGTGTCTCTCTTGTATCTGTCTTTTTGCCTCTCTCTCTCTCTCTCTCTCTTTTTCTGTCTCACTCCCCCTTCCTTATTTCTCTCTTTCCCTCTTTCTCTCTCCTTTTCTGTCTCTCTCTCTTTCTTACTTTGTCTGTCTCTCTTGCTTTCTTTAAATCTCTCTCATGTCTCTCTCTCTCTTTGTCTCGTTCTCATTTCTCTTTCTGTCTTTCTCTCTCTCTCTCTGTGATCTGATTGATGACTGAACTACAGGTCGACCAATCTAAAAAACAAAAAGTCAACAATAAACACAGATAAACTCTCTCTCTGTAACTGCGCTGTGAGAATAAACGACTGCACACGCTGTTACAGCTAATTACAGCCATTAGAGAGACGCATTATCTATAAACAGAGCAGGCCATTAAAAAAGCCCTGCATATGCAATACAGTACAGTACAGTATAGTACAGTACAGGATCGTACAGTACAGTATAGTACAGTACAGTACAGTATAGTACAGTACAGTACAGCACAGTATAGTGCAGTACAGCACAGTACAGTACAGTGCAGTACAGTATAGTACAGTACAGTGCAGTACAGGGGGACGGGTTAAAGAGGACTGGACCACTGCTCACAGTGTGTGTGTGAGTGTGTGTGAGTGTGTGTGTGTGTGTGTGTGTGGCTGTTGTCCTCACACTCTCAGTAAATGTGGACAGTGTTATTATATTCAGGGTTATGTTGTTATTAGTGGGGACCAAATGTGCCCAGGATCATGACAAACATGTATGACATTGTGGGGACATTTGCCAGATCCCCATTAGGAAAAATGCAGTCCCTCTCTCTCTCTCTCTCTCTCTCTCTCCCTCTCTCAAGTTCAAGTTCAAGTCTAATAGTGCTTTATTAGCATGAATGTAATAAAAATACACTATTGCCAAAGCAGTTAATAAGAAACACATTAAAAAAGATGGGGGTTATTAGTAATCAAAGAAAAAGAAAAGGAAAATAAAAGAGTCAAGACAAATTTCAGGTTATATAATAATCAATAATAATCACTATTGGTTATTTGGTTGTTCTTACTCTCTCTCTCTCTTTACTTCTTTCCATCTCTTATCCCCTCTCACTTTTTCTCATGCTCTCTTTCCCTCTCCCCCTTTCTCTCTTTCGGTGACTCTCTCCCTCTCTTGTTCTCTCTCTCTCTGCCCCTCCTATTTTCTCTCTCTCTTCATTTCGTTTCCCATTTTGTCCTCTCTTTCTCTTTTTCTCCCTCTCTCTCCTTGTCTTGTTCTTTTGTTCTCCCCCTCTCTCCCTCTCTCTCTTTCTGTGTCTCTCTCCCTCTCTAGTTCTCTCTTTCTCTCCAGCTCTCTTTCTCACTCTCTCTCTCTTGCTTTCTGTCTCTCACTCTACCTTTCTTGTTCTCTCTCTCTTTTGTTTTCTCTCCCTCCCTCTCTTTTTCTTTCTTTCTCTTTTTGTTTTTCTCTCTCTATCCCTCTCTCTCTTGATTTTTCTCCCTCTCTCTTTCTTACTCTCTCTCCCTATCTTTCCCTCTGTCCACATTTTCTCTTACTTCTCTCTCTCTCTCTCTCTCTCCCTCCCTCTCTCCTTTTCTATCTCTCTTTGTCTACCCTTCCTCTTTCTTTTCTTTTCTCTCTCTCTCTCCCTCTTTCTGTGTCTCTCTCCCTTTTGTGTTCTCTCTTTTTCAATTTCTCTCTCTTATTATTTTTCTTTTCTCTCTCTCTATCCCCCTGTCTTGTTCTCTCTCTCTCTCTCTCTCTCTCTCTCTCTCTCTCTCTCTCTGTTTTATTGCTCTCTCCTTGCTCCGCCCACACATACCCGTGTTTATGCTCCGTCTTATGTCCTTTAGTGGTAAGGCTGATGTTTCCACTGTCTGACTGCGATTCTGAGATTATTTTAATGGAACATTTGATTGATGCAGTATAAAATCCTTTGTCCGAATCGATAAACACGTCCTGAAGGTTAATAAATCAGGCGGATTAACCGCAGAGCGTGGCGCGGAGTGGCCGGGAAGTCTATGGAAAACAAAGATGGCTGATAAAGCCTGTGTGTAGGTGAGAGCCCATTTCTCTCAGCCTCTGTCCTCTGTAGCATTGTTTATAATGTTCTCTCCGTGAGAGCGACTTCCAAATAACACTGCAGTAATCTATTACCAATAACATCTGTAAGACAGATGTGACTAGATGTGGATTTCTAAACACTCTTAAAACAAAGATAATATTGTGATATTATCTTAATCTTAGGGCAGCATGTTCCATCAAAGGGGAATTCCAACAAATGTTCAAAATTTCTGCGTAATTAAATGGTTAAGATGGAAACAAAGTCATTCAGAGTGGTTTGGAGTGAAATGCTCTGATCTAGATAAACGTACCGAGTCAGAATTGTTCACAGTAGTGGTGATAGGAACCAGACGTCTGAAGAGTTAAATGCCTCTAAAAGCTCCCTCACAGAAGGGTATTACATGAAATCAGTACAGATACACTACCTGATGATGCAGACATTGTTTTATGCTAATTTTGAGATAAATTTTAGGCTAAAACGTACTTAAAATCATGGCAGAGGGGTACATGGAGGGTGTTATGAGGCAAAATAGTCCTCAAAGAAAACATATCTTTTCAGGTATGACTATTTTACCATCATCAGTGTTAAATATATGACTCAGAAGACTTGTGTGGGTCCACTGATGTCTTTGGATGGTAAATAAAATGGCTATAATTGTGATATAGACATGGTGACCCCTGGTTCCTATCAGCACCCCTGTAAAGAAATCCAAGCTTGTAAGCTTCTCAGCAATGAACCGTTTTACACCAAAACAATCATCTGAATCTACTGACCTATGCAGAATTTCCATCTCATCATGTTATTAGAAACTCCTACCTCGTATTTCCACTCTCTGACCGCTTTATGAGCCCCACCTAACTTTTACAGGTCCAACATATTGGTCAGTGGTCCACACAGTATTTTTATAATCGTCTCGTCTCATTCAGATTGGGAAATTAATTCATAGTTAGCGCAAACTAACGTGCTTTTGTAGTTACTGGCTTGTAGCTACAGCCGTTCAATTGTGACCAATTCAGTTCCCCGTCAAATTCACATTCCCTTTGATGACTCAGGTCCCCAGGCGGCGCATTCACTGAACCGAAAACAACGCCAAGCAACTCTGGAACTACAGAAAGCGAAAAGGTTCAAAAAAAGCTTGAACGGCTGCGTGATTTCACCCAAACCCCAATAGAAATTCACCCAAGATAACACGGCATAATTGAGATGCCATGATAAACATTATTTTCAATGTGTATAAACAGTGAACAATCGTACTGATAAATACTTGTTGTTCGTCACTGATTGGGTGAATGCAGCTGCCGTACAAACCTTCTTTGAACCTTTTTCGCTTTCCGTACTTCCAGTGTTGCTGGACGTTGTTTTCTGTTTAGTAAATGCGCCGCCCGAGGACCTGATTTGTCAAAGGGATTGGGAATTTGAGGAGGAACTGAATCGGATACAACGCCGGCGTTAGCTGTGTTGGACGGCTGTATCTACAGGCTAGTAACTGCAAAAGCATGTTAGCTTGCTTGCATTGATCTCAGTTGAGAAAGCGGTTTTGAGAGGAAACGCAGACGTATTCCTCTTTTTATGTTAAAAATACATTTCAGGCCCAAACTTAAATTAAGTGACCCTTATTAGTCCCACAACGGGGAAATTTCACCTCCATATTTGACCCATCCGCGTAGTGAAACACCACATACACACTAGTGGATGCACACACACTAGGAGGCAGTGAGCACACTTGTCCAGAGCGGTGGGCAGCCCTACCTGGAGCGCCCCGGGAGCAATTGGGGTCTAGGTGCCTTGCTCAAGGGCACTTCAGTCACGTACTGTCACAGGGCTGGTTCCATACTTTATAACAAAAGTATCACAAAACAACGTCTCAGGTACCAAGCAATACATTTATAACCATTTTGTGTAAGAACTTAATGGGATGTAGCTTTTAGAGTCATTAAATGCTTCAGACGTCTGGTTCCTAGTATTATAATGGTGAACGATTCTGACTCGCATTTCACACCGAACTACTCAGAATGATTTTGTTTACATCTAAACCATAGAATTGTTAAATAACGTTGCAAAATCTGTGGAGTTCTCCTTTATTGCCTACTTTGCTGTTGCAGTTTTGGCATATTTTGAATAAAAAATGGCAAAACTTTGAGTAAAAATGGAATAAAAAAAGCTGGCGCACGGATTTGGTGAGATTTTTTAACATGGCCCTTTTAGTGGTTGAGTTTGACACCCTGGTCTCATCGCACACCAACAAAGTGGAGTTACAAAGTAGGGGTTTCCTGAAAAAGTGGCCAGTGAGTGTATGAGCTATATCAGTGTTATATACATTGTATACGTGAATTAGGAAAGAAGCCACCAAGGAAACCAAAGGAAACTTTCTCGGATTAGTAGGAAACCAAGCAGACGGTAGGAGAGAGAAGCCACTACTGAAGAGCACAGAGGAAGAAGAAGCAAGAGAGAGAGTGACACCAAGTCATAGGGAACGAGAGAAAGAGAGAGAGAGAGAGAGAGAGAGAGGGGGAGAGAGAGAAACCTCTGTGTTCTGTGCGTCCTCTCCTCCTCCACTGCGGTGTCTGGAGCACTACATAAAAGCTGCACTGCTTATTGTACTCCTCTCGATCGAGAACCCTGACCGTTATCGTCTTCCTGCAGAGACAAGACAACAGGCAGAGGGGGGGTTGGAACCATGCAAGGCAGCCACACACACGCCCACACACACACACACACACACGCGGGGGCCAGTTCGGAGGACGGCGGCTGATGAAATTCCAAGTCCACACCAAGTGTCAGGGAGTTCAGAGAGGGATGATGGTCCAGGTGTGTGTGTGTGTGTGTGTGTGTGTGTGTGGGTGTGTGCGTATTTGTACATTTCCAGGACAAATTTCAGACAAATGACTTACAATGTCAGGACCTGTGAAAAGGTCCCCATTTTGCATCTTTTAAAAGTGAAAGGGCAAATCATATTAATAAAAACATGTTTTTAATCATAGGTCACTGTTGTAAGAAAACCTTGTGTATCTCTGACATGGTGACTTAAGAGGAGAAGAAAAAGCGTAACTAGAAAGGAAAAGTTAGTAAACAAAGTTTAAGTTGGCTTGAAAAAGCCAGCTAATTACTTTAAAATGTTAAAATGGTGGGAGACTTTTGATGGTTGCCCAAGTGTTGCTTAGATGTTGCTATGCGGTTGCTATGGTATCCAAGGTGGCTGGTAAGGTGTTGTTAGGTGCTGCCTATGGTGTCCCAGGTCGGTGCTAAGGTGGTCCTATGCTATTAAATACACTAGTACCTTAAATCCACTGCTTCCTTAAAGTTCACTGCCACCTTAAATGTACTGCTACCTTACATTTACTACCACCTTAAATTTACTGATACCATACATTGCCACCTTAAATTTACTGCCAACTTAAACTTAATGATCTAAAAACTAAGTTAAATTTAGATCAACTTTAAATTCACTGCCACCTTAAATGTACTGCCACTTTAAATTCACTGCCACCTTAAATTTACTGCCAACTTAAATCCACCGCCACTTTAAATTTACTGATACATTTCCAAGCCAACTTAATAAATAAAGGTCAAAGTAAACAGCAACTTAAAAATGAGAAATAACAATGGAAAATGGATATAACGTTCTATAAAACATGTGTCATCTCATTGGCTGAGGGAGTAGCAGGTTCTGGTGGGCCAAATCAAATGTCTTTGCCCACAGGACCCATACTGGTCAGCCTTGGTGTCAAGAAATAACGAGGTTTTGATACGACAGCAACGACATAGATAATACATAGGGGACTATGTACTGCCTTATGTCCTGACAAAGTATTAAAACCAGTGTGTGTGTGTGTGTGTGTGTGTGTGTGTGTACGCTGTGTATGTGTGTTTGTGTGTGCACTCCCTCTCCCCTCTCTGCCTCCCCCTGCTGGCATGGAGGCCCGGCTTGGCCCACTTAGGCCACGCCCCCTCCCACCTTTCTTTTCATTGGTCTCTACAAGCTGCGGCTCCCCGATCTCCAGGTAGAAACTCTTGTTTTTCTCGTACTCCTCGTCATCGATTATCCTTACTTTTATCGTTTTGCTGGAGAAGAAGAGGAAAGGAGAGAAGAGAGAGAGAAAAGAGAGAAGAGGAAAAGAGCAGTGAGGAACCCACAGGCCAGCCAGGGGAAAAAGAGTGAAAGATCAAAAGGCATGCAGTCATGCACAAGCAGAAGAGGACAGGAGAGGAGAAATGGGAGGACGAGAGAAGAAAGGAGAAAAAAACGAGGACATAAAAAGCCTCTGCAAGCGTAACACACATAAACACACACACAACCAATAATAACCCAATTTAAAAACACAATAGAAATCAATGACCATTTAGTACATAGTTCTGTATAACGATACTGCACACAATGTCCGGCACATGCCTAATCGTCCATGGACTCGCTGCTCAGTTCCTGGCTTTAAAAAATAGCGTAAAGATCAACAGAATTGTCATAGAAACCACTCCATCACATCTCAGTAAGGCTCAACAATTCAACGGACGTACAGTTCTGTGAAAAAGCAGAGACTATCCTTTTGTTTATTTAACTTTCTTGGCCATCAATACACCTTTTTCATTTTTCAGGTGATATTTCTGGGGAGATTACATATAAGGGGAAAGTCGACGTTAAATAATTGAGGAGTTTCCAAAACAGGAATATAAAAAGAGTTCCTAAAATGATGTGTCAGTCATTATCTAACATGCTATTTTTATTTTTCCCAAATCTGCGTAATTTAGGTCTGGCTCTCACTCCCAGCTTATCCAAAGATGTCAAATGTGCTTATATTTTGTTATTTACTAAAGTCATGAGCTCGCTACTACAGCAAAAATGCTAACACGGCTACCAGCTAGTTGGAACAGTTCACTCAGCCTCATTAGCGTAACGCTGAAAGAGGCAGAAAGTCGAACTTAAATAAGTTTCCAATGGAATTCGAAAAGTGATTAAAAATATAGAGAAACTATGATTCCTAACAACCACCTGCAAGACATGGTAGACCACCAAATCTGCCCCCGTCAGATAAACAGTATTTAAAACTTTCGTCTTGTCTGGATAATAAACTGGACACCCCAGAGTCCAGGCCTCAATATTATTGAAAACATTTGAGATTACTTTGATCGTAAGAAGCAGAAAATGCAACCAACTTCAAAGACTGAACTTTGAAAAAAATATCCCTGCAGATTTCTTTGAGAAACTGAAAGCAAGTCTCCTGAAAAGAATGGAAGCTGTAATGAAGGTGGACAAAGGGTGGACAGGCTAAATGCTGAAAAAATGTATATTTGTTTTTGAGGTAAATTTTGGTCAAATATGTTTTTTTGCTTTTTTCCTGACACTGAAAAATGAATAACTTGTACCTAATGGCCATTTTGACTGCATACTTTCATATACCATACATCTCTATAGTGATATGAAATCTGAAAGCTATTGTCAAAAGTGTGGAACATCACAACATCATATCAGTTTTCGCTTATTATACAAGTGCTGACGCACAACTATCCAAGGTCGGATCGTAACCTTGGTCTTCAAACTATGCTGCATTTGGGTAATGTGGTGGCTGTCTGACCTCTGACCTCTTCTGAGAACGGACACATCCAGCATAACGCCAATGAGATCTAACCATTATTTACAATTAGCCATGTTAGCATCTTTAGTGAAGAGACTTCATAAACTACTATAAAATATTTCTATGTGACTTTTATTTATTTTTAATTTATTTATTTATGGTTGAATATGTGGTCTCTCATTAGTGAACATCTGCATAAAAATGTCTGAGCCTACATAATTCTTCGTCCTCATGACATTAATAAATAACAAAATACAAGCACATTTGTCATTTTTGGACAAGCTAGACCAAAGGTAAGTGGATTAGAGGGAAATATGTATAAAATTTGTCATCTTTGGACAAGCGCGGCCTGAGCTAGGTGGATTTTATGAAAATATATAAATAAATAAACAGGAGATGAGCTAGGTTGACGCGGTAGCTAATGCCTGACACGTAATGTTAGGAACTACTTTATAAAGATTTGAAAAGACACTTCTTACCAGCTTTTGTGAATCAGCAGTCGATGCTAAAATGCTAATGCTTGGTGAAGTAGTGAGCTCATGATGTTAGTAAATAACAAAATATAAGCACATTTGACATCATTGGATAAGCTGGGAGCGAGAGCCAGAAGTTAAGCAGATTTGGGAAAAATAACATTAAATAAAAATAACGTTAGATAATGACTGACACATCATTTTAGGACCTACTTTTTGAAGATTTCACACTAGCTTAAGTGAATCAGTGGAGTCCACCACAAAACGCTACTGCTGTAAATAACAAATAAGACCTAATAGCCTCTTTTAGCAATATGCTAACGAGACTGAGTGAAATGCTCCAAGTAGCTGATAGCCATGTTAGCATTTCTGGTGAAGTAGCGAGCTCATGACCTTTGACAAATTGACAAAATGCTACTGCTGTAAATAACAAATAACCCTGATAGCAAGAGGGATAGTGGTCCACTGTTGGCCCGCTGATGGCAAAGCTGGCAGTCCACTGGTGTTTTGTTCAGCATTTTCTGGGCAGCCCACCGGTGGTTAAGTAGACTGTTAGACAAAATTCCACTTATTATCGCTCATTTTCCACTTACAGTCCAATTTACCTTTTTTACCTTCCTTCCTTTCTTTAGTTAAATTAGTTTAGAAAATAATTTTAATCTAGCTCAGCAACAACATTTGTATAAAATCATTTTATATCAGGCCTAGTCATGATTTTTTTCTCTCAGTTCTTTGTAATACTTGTCTCGGTTTATTTTCTAAAATAAAAGTCTCTGTGCATTTAAAATCAGTTTGAGGAGATTAAAAACGAGTTAGAGCTTGTATGCAGGACAGTAATCCGGGCAGTCCGAGGGTGGACCAGCAGTGGCAAACAGTCAGCGGGGTGCCGACCTTATCAAGCCAGCGGACCGATATATGCTCGCTATCTGGGAAGACCCAATTAGCATTATGCTAGTAAGACTGAGTGAACTGTTCCTGACTAGCTGTTACTCACTGATAACCCTGTTAGCATTTTAGGTAAATTTTGTGCATAAAACCACTTTATTTCTGCTACTTAAACAGCAAGCGACCTTAGTCTTCATACTCTGCTGCTATAGAGTAACTGGGCACAGAGCACTGTTCACCTCTGACCTCTCCTGAGAGGAGCTATGCAGGAAATCAAGCTAGCTGTTCCCTACCAGCTGTTATCCACTGGTAGCCACATTAGCCTTCGGAATTTGCACACATGACGCATTTCACCGCTGCCCTCTGAGCTCAAAGTGTGGATTGAAAGCACTTTATTTCTGCAAATGTCAAGCAAATGTCAAACAAGACTCCTATTCTCCAGATGTTGTAGTTGTAAAAAAGCTTGAGTGATGAGTCCGTCCTGTCTGAGTCATTCACAGCTTTCGTTTACACTTTCTGACTCTTTTTCCACACCGCCGCCGTAAAACTCACACACCGCCAAACTGCAGCTGCAGGCCCACAGTAATCGATTTCCATTTGTTCTCAATACAGTGGACGAGAAATAGAGATCAAAGAAGCAAAAAAGTAAGATGGGTGAGTGAAGCAGCGGGGACAAAAAAAGCAGTGTCAGTAAGAACGAGAGCCCAAGATA